AGTAGTAGTAGTAGTAGTAGTAGTAGTAGTAGTAGTAGTAGTAGTAGTAGTAGTAGCATTGGTCTTTTCGTTCCGGTCAAAGTAACATTTCTGTGTACACAGGGGCTTGTGCAATGCTAGCTTTACGATGAAATACTATTTATGCACGGGTAAGTGCCTTTTAGTTGACTTACTTTCGCATCCGGATAGACTTGCATTATTTGCCAATAGTACGAGGCGGCCGGAAAATCCACAGCACCACAATAATCATGCAGTAGGTCTTGAATTAGCCTCGCATCAACCGGTTTCCCACCGGGACGCATGGATTCCGTCACTTGATTGTCCAGTTCAACCCATTTCTGGGGATGATCGGGATGTTTCTCCATGATAGTATGCATATGGTAACATGGACGATGGAAGAGGATCTCCAACGCTTGTTTCAAACTGGCTGTTCCAGTTCGACCACATCCTGCACCGATCACCAAGAGAGACGTATCCGTGCGGGGATGCGACATTCCCGGATAATGATGATGCTGATGTTGATGCGGATCGGCAATGAGAGACAGCGTTTAAATCGATCCAACACTAGGTGTCTGTAGCTGATTCCAAAGTGTAAGGAACACAATTAATTTGGCGTATCATCGTGACAAGGAACACCTACGCACGCACACACACATGTACACACGTGCACAACAGGACTGAATGTTAGGTAGATCGTTGTTCGATTCGTGTTTTACAGGATGGTCCGATTACCGTGAAAACAAAGTTATAAATATGACACAAATATAGTATTTCAGAGACACTTGAGGACACGAATTTAGAGAAACAAGTCAACTACCACATTAATAAATAGTAAGCTATTTGGGGTGTTCAATGTTTATTACATACTCTTTATAAAACAAGTACTCATTTGTAAACGAGTTGCATTGTTGTGATTATTAGTTTATCATAATCGTGTTTGTGTCAGTAATTTGAATACAACACAGATAAAAACGAGATGTTCAAAAATATTATTTCTATACTTCGATGACTTTTCGGATTGACGAAGTAGTCATTGATCGATGATCGTCAACAGCGGTCAATGGATGACAAGTCATGTGAGTGAACAAAAAACAGTTTGGTTCATGAACTTACACATACCATTCACGTGATTTATTTTCATACCGGATAGTTTCTTTGAAGGCATGGAAATACACATACCATCAAAGAGTGCATCCATACTCTACACTCCAAACACTAAAACACGAAGTGTTTAATCTGGTTACCGTTAAAACTGAAAAGTAATGTAAAAATAAACCGTTACCGGCTGTTTTAACGAATAAATAAGTACGAGGTGAAGCGAACGGTCATTCTGCAGTATGTAAATGGAACCTTCGCCGGTCTGTAGGCCGGTAAGCAAAAGGGCGTTAACATGCCGACAAGCTGGCCAATTGTGGCGCAAGCCTCACCAATAGCAGGATGTCATCTAGCTGGGCAGTCAC